CTGGGGAGCTGGGAAGACACCGGGGCATTCGCATGGGCTGGTTGCAGCACCCCAATGCCCTTCACCAGCTTCCTGGGACCCCACGCCAAGGTCACGTCTCTGTTCCTCGTGCCCTGTCCCCCTCTCGTGCATTAGCTGATGCTGACGTGGTATCTTGTCGTGAGCGGCTGCGTTGGAAACACTGACGTGCAGCCCAGGCTGGGTACATCTTAGCTGCTCTTCTTTTCTTCCGCTCCATCTGGAAGAAGGTCACACTTCTCCAAATAGCTGTGGCTTAAATTACAGCCACCCGCTGTGTGCAGGGATGGGGGAAAGGAGCAGACAACCTGGCTGGGGTCCCCTGTGCCGGTGGTACCCGCACCGAGTGAGCAGCCTGCCCTGCCTGGGGGCTCCCAGCTCTTTGCCAAGACTTTTCTGGCTCTCCCCTCATCCACTAGAGAGGGAATCGGAGCAGGAGTTATCCTCCAAACATCTTTCTGGAGCCATCTGGTTTGGTAGGGGTCAAAAGCAGCTCCCAAAATAGGCCTGTAGCTGGTTTGAGCATCTAGATAAGGAGCCCGGTGCTGCATCTCCTAAGGGAACTCAGCCTTTGTGCATCCCACAAACCGAAATGTGCTGCTGAAAGCCTGGCATGGCGTTCCTGACCCCAGGAGAGGTGCCCATGCTGTGGGGACACAGCAACAGGATATGGGGGCAAGGTTTAGGGGCTCAAAGAAGCTCGGGGCCCCTGGGTGCTGCTTCAGCTTCCCCATTGCTGCTCCCATTGTGTCCTCGCTTTCCCCAACCACCGGTATAATGGGTGCAGCATCCTGGGGTAGCCGGATGTGGGACCCCTGCCCTGAAGGGAAGGACGTGTCCCCTACAATCATGTTTCACACCTTTGGCCTTTTGCCTCTCACCCCACAGTGTGAGAAGTGCAACCTGCATTTCCGCCACAAAAGCCAGCTGCGGCTTCACCTCCGGCAGAAGCACGGGGCCATCACCAACACCAAGGTGCAGTACCGCATCTCAGCAAGTGAGGTGCCTCCGGAGCTCCCCAAGGCCTGCTGAAGGCAGAGGATTTCCCAGGAGGAGTCTCGGGGAGGGTGGGGAGAAGCTGTCCAAAGGATATGCAACACTTTAAAAGAAAAAGGAGAAAAAAAAGAAAAAAAAAAAGAAAAAAAATTCATCACATGATGGAGTGCCTCTAAACCCATAGTGCAGATAGGTGGAAAACATTAGAAATTTAAAAAAAAAAATCACAAATACACGGGTTTTATTTTTCCCAGTTATGTGAAACGTAAAGAAAAATAAAATTATTCAGATCTTATTGTATATAAAACATAAAAAATAAAAATAGTCATTTTAAATGTCTGTGCAGTGGAGTGTTGATAAACTCTGGAGTCTAACCTTCACAGCCTTTGCCGTTTGAAGATGAGGAATGTAATGTTGATTTATGGGAACAGATTTTTTCTTTTGTATGCAAAATGTGTGTTCTTTTAAAAAGAGAAAGTATGCTATTAAAGAGAGGGCTTTAACTTTTTTAACCAAAGGTGAAGGAATCTATGGCAGAGTTGTAAATATATATAGATATAA